TTTGTCTCAGTCTTAGTTATGTCAACTTGTGATAGAAACTCCTTTAGTTTTACTATAGCTGAGTATAGGTTATTTCAGTTTATTTGTATGTATTTACAAAATTAAATTGATCAGACGCGGCCAATTTACAGTTTGCCGATCTACCAAAGTAAATGTGTTGCGATTCATTTGAAATACTGCAAACCTATTGCACAAAAAATAATTTCAAACACTCATATTGTATAAATTTCCATAGGGATTGTTATATTATATTTTTTGTTAAAAATCCCATGATATATTTTATTCAGTTGATGAATCCCTTTGGAAACACTTGTTTGTTTAAAATTCCCAATGTGGAAATGGCATGAATTTACTATGAAACCTTATTGAGAAAAAAAATCTCCCTAAGCAATTTTTTTTTTTTATATCTAATTTTACCTTATAAAGGCTTAAGTATTTAGTATAATATGTTAAAAATCTTTTAGTTTAATGTGTTAAAAATACCATTGAGGAGACTGGAGAACTCATATAAGTTTTCCATTATAATTTATATTGAGATCTACAAAACTCTTCTGGTGAAATATTTTAAGTTTAACGTTGATATAAGAGGCCTATGTCTGTTGCAATTTCAGAACTGATCTTCCGTAAGTATGATTGATTATCCCAAATCATTCAATAATTGATCATTCCAAAATTAATCAATAATTGATTATCCCAAATGATTATCCAAAATTAATCAGTGATTGATTATCCCAAAAAATTAATTAATTATTTATCATTCCAAATTAATCTATGATTGATCATCCCAAAATTAATCAATGATTGATTATCTGAAATTGATTAATCATTCCAAATTAATCTATGATTGATCATCCCAAAATTAATCAATGATTGATGATCCGAAATTGATTAATTATTAATCATTCCAAATAAATCTATGATTGATCATCCCAAAATTTATCAATAATTGATTATCCCAAATTAATTAATTATTGATCATTCCAAAGCAATCAATGATTGATTATCCCAAATTAATCAATTTGCTCACATTTTATCACAATTACCCTCTGCAAAATGTCAGCCTGTTTTTGTTTATTTTTTATCATTTTACACTCACAGTGGCATATTATGCAGAAATATTTTGTTTGAATTTATTTTTTAGTTGTTATTTTTTACTTTATATATATATTTTTGTACAGTTCTTGAACTTGTCCTTGTCCTTATAATTGTCACAGCTTCACCTACCTACCTTTTTGTGTCATTTGTATTTATCACAAATTAACAACCTTTTTAACCCTAAACCTTCTGAATTTGTGTAATGGATTTGCCAAAGTTTGTATTTAGAACAGTTCATTCAAAGTTTAAGGGGATTTCAGGATCAAAATACAAAAATTGAGCTACCAACAGTATTGAACCTGGTAAGAATGCACAGACATACAGGCTGGTCTGGCTCTATACTGGTGGCAAAAGCTAATCATTTTCAGTTTCAACAGGCTACAAAGAGTTTAAATCTTATTTCACAGTTAATTTGCATTGTGGCTTATTTATATGTACAAGGCCATGAAGCATGCAAGGTGGCAAAAAGAGGCTGTCCATGGCCACCTGGTTAAGGTTGTTGACATAAATCACCAACTCTTGCCTCTCGCGGCTTAAGGTCCAAGCAACGTGAACATCTTCTGATTCTATCATGTGAGAAACCTAAGATAATCCAGATAATACCTTACGGAATGTCTTTGGTTCTACTCTGGTGCCTGTTTGTGCCTGAAATAATGCACAGAGGGGCACCTTAGATCTGCCTCCATCAGTAAAGCTGCAAAGTCGCCATATGACCTGTACTGTGTTTGTGGGACATAAAACCCAATAATAATAAAAAAAAAGACGGTGATCTATTTAAAGACACATAGAAAAGTAGGAAAGACAAAAAGCAAGAGATAGAGACTAAAATACAAAGTAAAATCTTCATCATGCTGCACAAAAATTACACTATCATATACTTAGCAATCTTCTTAATGATGATTATTTCAACTTAGAACTCCTACAATTTGTTTATAATGTCCAATACTAATCTGTTTCTTGCTGGGTTTTTTTTTTAAATTATTACTTATTAATATTATATTAATTGTTTTTAGATTGAAAGTTTTGTGCACATTTTGTGGAACCTTTTCGTTATTGTTTTCAATTTTAACTCTTACCATTATTAATATCTTTAAATGGACTTTTCCATCTCTTAAGTCCATCTCCAATTCCGAAAAGATCATTCATCATTTTTTAGAGAAAATTTCAAAATAATGTAAGACTGAGCAGCAAACAGTGCCGACCATGATGAGACGGCACAAATGGAGGGCTGATTGCAAAACTGTTGTAAGTCCTCCTTTTTTTCATAAAAGTAACTGCAGTTTTGTGATCAACCCTCGAAATAAGCTTGCTGATCTTGGTATGTACTGATTACATGGGTAGAATCAGATGGTATCAACAGGCATAAGGATCAAAGTAATGATTATCGTAATTATTGTAATAAATATAAAGATAAAACAAGATTAAGTCGTTACATTACAATGTTACTATAAGCAAACGGAATGGTGTGAGTTTTTTTCTTACAATTTAAGCTTGGTTAAAAACTAGTCTGTGACCATAACTTAAATGTATACAAATGTATAATTAAGAATATCTTTTGCCCAAGTGGTTACCAATTACTGCAGTGCCTAACAGTGGGTAACTTATAAATCTTCCAAGGACTTTTGAGTTTTTCATATCTGAAAGTTTAATTCAAGCTATGTTATAAAAGGTTGGGAGAGTCTTTGCTTCTTCTCAGATGCCTGCTAGTGTGCAATATAATGCACAGAGAAGATCTCCCAAATGTCACACTATACATCAATAAAGTAGAAAACTCATTATATTACAAAAAAACTGTAGGACTATTTCAACTTCACGAATTCATGATTTCAACGTCATCAATTCACGATTTTAACTTCATGAATTCGCGATTTCAACTTCACGAATTCACGAAATTGTTTCATGAAGATGAAATCAGGAATTCATGAAGTAGAAATGTCCCCACCGGTCTTTTGTATTATAATTTATGACACTAGCGTTTGTGTGACATTTAAAACCCACCAAAAATTCACAGAATGTAGATTTTTCTGTTAGAGAATAAAAGGTTGTAGATTCCCTCTCTCCCCAGTACTAGACATACAATAGGTATAGCTGCAACTTTGGTGTAGAGTTTTACAACAAAATACATCGTAACATGTAAATCTCTTTTAGATGTTATCATTGATTAAAATAGTATTTTGTTATGTGGTCATTGGTGGTTTAGAATAGCTAGATTCCCTTTTATTACAACCCAAGATAATAATATTTCACTGGAGTCAATATATTTTTCATTATCAATTTATTATCACTTGTTATGTGTTAGCTGGCATTTTAGTGATGTTGTGATCCCCTAGTTGTCACCACTAGGCTACACTCCTCCCCTTAGAAGCTCAATTTGAAGCTGTTCATCATTTATTTCATACCTTTGATCAGAAGTTCATGTAGACCTATTTTCAATGCTCTGTTCAGTTTAATTTGATTTTTATTTTGTTCACCTCTATTTTGTTTGCCATCATTCAATTTTAAATGATGATTTTAGAATACCTGAAAAATAGAGACCTTAAAAAACCTTTATTATGTTCCTTATGATTTTTATAGAGCAAAGAATAAATTTGATATCATATTCAGAGATTGTTCTTTCTTTTTTTTATAATGATTTTATTATGCATGTAAATATATGGTTAAGCATGTAAATATATGGTTATGCATGTAAATATATGGTTATGCATGTAAATATATGGTTATATTTAGGCAGATGTTTCTTAGATGTAATATATAATCTTCTTTCTATCTGTTGTATAATCTTTCTGACTGTTTTTAGCTCCACTGAACAAAATAATAGTGGTTCTTTCTTTTTCACACTGGTGTCTTGAACACATCACTTGGTTCTGGTTTTATTTTGCATTTAGGTAAATATCTTGTTAACAAAAGTTGGTCAAACTTTTTCACTTGAAACTTCACAGTTATATTCAGGAGTACAACTATAGTTCACTGTCCAAGTGTTATAACTCTAGCTTGGAATTGTACTGTATTTCACCACATTGTTATTATCATACAAAATTACTAATGGTAAAGGTTTGCACACAGGTTTTATTTCCATAACCAGTAAAGTTATTCACTTGAAACACATCTTCAAGGTCAGGGTCATAATTATAGTTCTCTGACAAAGGAACATAACTAGTCTGAATTTGTACTTAATTATTTCCCTTTGTTATCATTCTTTAAATTTTAACGTAATACTCTTGTTTTACTATAAAGAGCAGTCAAGGAAGCATCTTTTATTGTGTTTGGTTCATGTTCATAATTATTTATATAAATTTTAGATAATTTCCCATTAAAAGAGAAGAGAGAGAGGGAAAAAAATAGAATTTAAATTTGTCACAACTTATCTTTTGAGATTAGTTTTTTGTTCAGGCTTACTATTTATGAAAAATGTTGAGCTTTTCCAGTAAAACTTTGCATGCATGGTTTGGAACTATCTATACACATTATTTGGACAATTATTATTAAGTAATTGGCTAGGGTATTTTTGTATGGAAAGTGGTCCTTTTTCCAATTTATGAAATATTACATATAACAGTTGTTTATTTGTATAATTGAGATTTTTTGTTTCATATTATCTATCAATACACAATAAGAAAGTTCTTGACTGATTAATTTTTTCAGTTTATAATTATTGTATTTACGAAAATATTGCATGCTAGTGTTTAATTCTGAGAGTTACACATTTGAGATTTCACAGATTTGGATTGATTTTATAGTTTGCTTACATTTGCTTTCAGTTTGATGTGTTACACAGTATTAGAGCAGTAATAAATCTATTTTTAGCATCAAAATATCTAATTTTAGCATAAGAAATTTCTATTTTTAGCCTAAGGTTTCTATTTTTAGCACTAGATGTTCTTATTTTTATAATTTTCTGCTTTCAGGATCAGAGCATTGTATGGAAGTGACAAACTTAAAAACGCTGTTCATGGTTCATCGAATCCAGATCATGCCAAGACACAGATCGCCAAAATTTTCGGTGAATTATACTTCAATAGAGATGGGTCCTTGAAAGGTAGATCCAATGTTTCCACTGTACAGCACTGCTTGTTCATGTATATAACCACCTTAATTTGGCGAATGTTTTTCATAATCAATAGTTTAGGTTTAAATAATACCATGTCAGTATTATTATCTTTTTTCATTTTTTTGGTAATTAAAACTTAGTTCAGATTTTTGTTGTTTTCTCTAACGAATGAAAAAAAAAATGTAGATAGATGCAAGAAAATTTTTGTATTTAAGTTATTAATTTTGTTGCATGTGCATTGAACTATAATAATTGTTAAAGTTAGGTTTTTGAATCCCCAAAAAACGTTGGGTAGACTTACTGTTATTTGATACAGTTGTGCTATAAATTAGTAGAATTATGGCCATATTTAATGCTATTTTGCTTCTCTCAAATCACTGGCTGTCTCTCATGAAATACAGTTCTGCTCATTTTCTATTGATTTTGTGAAACCAAAATAAATAGAGGATATTTGTTTAGTTCAGTGTAAGATATATTTCGCTGAGTGCCAAAAGATATATTTCACGAGTGGCACAGTCACTAGTGAAATTTAAATTTATGGTGTTCGCGAGGTGAAATATATTTCACTAAAACTAAGCAAATTTTCTTTTTATTATATGCAAAGAAACGTTTAAAAAAAACCTACCTTGAATGAAAAGCGCGCCAAACAATGATACAATGTGACGTCATTTACAACATCATGTCATTAAGTTGGTTTCCGGGACTGACTTGCACACTGGTATTTCACTGAAACAATGTAACGGGCTTAAATTTAAAACTGTGAAATCAAATTGATTATTTCATTGTTTCAAACAGTGAAATATCAGTTGTTTTTTTATAAAGCATATAATAAATAGATAAAAAAACAATATTATTTGAGATTAGGGTTACTTGCACACATGACTGTTCTTTTTTATCAATATCAAGTTATTTAACAGAAAAAATAGTCAAAAGTTATAAACTTTGATTTTCAAGAATAGTCGTAGTAAAGAATTTCTCAAATTGGTCAATTTCTAAAATTTAGAAATCATTCAACCAATCAAAATATCAAACTTTAGACTGGTTTCTGATTTTTATAAATTTTTTTCTGTCAGAATTGAAGATTGGTTCCAAATTTAATTGAAGTGTTTTAACCCCCAAAGTGTCGGTTTTGGATAACTGTTTGGCATGCGGTGGAAGTTTACTGTTACTGTCTAACATGGGGTCATTTTTTTCTGGATTAACCGAAAATAGGTGCAAATAATAGTGCAATATGTTACATGTTTAAGAAATGTTCTTTGAGCACACGATAATGATATCAAATATAATGTAGTTTAATCAAGTTATTTTTCACCATTTAAAGGGAGACACAGGCAAAATTTTCATTTCTTAGTTTTGAATTTTTCATTCCTAATTCTGTAAATGCCCTCAAAATGAATATATTAGAAAGTCAAACGAACAAAACTTTTCTCCATATAAAGAATAAAATGGCGGTTTTATAACCTCACCCGCGTGGGTCAGGTTAGAGCGCTAGAATTTCACAATAGTTGTCACAGTGAACTCTGGAAACGTTAAAGAACATATCAAATGAATGATTTTGACTTGTTTCAATCATACAATATCCACAGTATCTGTTAATGTAACTTCAAGGATTTGTTCAAGTCACCTGACTTGTTTTAAAAATATTCGGCTATTCTATTGGCGTCTAAATTTTGTTCAACATATATAGATATATTTATGCTTCAAACCCAAAATATATAGAATTTAAACAGAAATTCATGCTGGAACTTTTGGAAATGTCATTTTAGCGCAAGTTGATTAGAAAAGATCATTTTCATATTTTTGTCAATATTTTGCCTGAATATCCCTTTAAAGTAATATTCTAGATGTTTCAATTAATTGTAAATCTAAATGCATGTGCATGTTAGAATAGAAAGTTTTTGGAATTTTGCATACCTTATTTCTTAAGATTAGCACAATTTGTTTTTTCAAGTACTGTTTGATTCTGCCCCCTACAGCTAACAGTAACTGTTGTAAATACAGTTATGTTCAGCCGAACTCCAAATTGGCTGTATCAAGAAAAAATGAAATAAGAATAAGTAGTATTAACGTTTCCACATTTTGAAGAAAACCTTAAAATGAGTTTATAAAAGAGAGCTACTTTGTGCTATTGAAAGTGCATTTTTATCAGAATTATTCTTGTAATTGAGATGGTGATCTCTGTGATACAAGTGTTAAACTTGCAGGCTTCAAAGCATGTAGCCCTCTTTGCTGTTAATAAGAAATGTCTGTTAATAAGAAAAGCTATAATCATGCATATGAGAAAGCAATGGAGATAGCTTATGTTTGTAAGATTGGTGTTTCCAACCAAGTGTTCATGTATGAAAGAACGTAAACAAGGGTGTTGCTGCCTTTCTTGATCAGTCAGCCTGCTGAGCTCAAAAGAGAGAACAACTATTTATTGTCCATGGGTTGCTTGTTTGATGCTCGAGTGAGTCGAAATTTCTCTGTGACTATAGATATTGGACATTGAATTTAATGACTGTAAGATCTCACTGCTGATTAAGAGATCATATGGGATTAGCAGTGGGTCACTTGAGGATGAATTGGTAATTTACTAGTTAGTTGTCCAGGAATACCAGTTAGGTGGTCCATTACAGAGATATGACCCCAAAAAAATGTTAAAATTTGTTTAATTAAAAAAAATGACAACACAAAATAAACAAAAATTTCCACAAGTTCTAACCGTAACTATGCATTTTGAGTTTTCATAGAGCATAGATGGTCAGATGTACAAAAATACGAATAAAAAACTTTGTACCCTCAGTTAGAAAGTAAATTTACTTTTGGTTTATTACAGTCTAGAACATTTGCTTTAAATCTTGCTTGAAATGGATTTTTATTATTTATTTGTAAAGCATGAACTGTTCTTGTTCATTATTTTGCCAGAAATATAAGAATGTCAGAAAATTTAGATGTGCCTAAGAACTCAGTCCTTATGTTTGGTGAATAATTCACCAAAACAGTAACAAAATCACATTGCAAAAGGAAAGGAAAAATAAAATAAATCATATTTAAAGACGAAACAAAAACAGCAACAACCCTAGATGTTCCAAATCTTTACATGAGTAAACCAATGCTCATTATGTCTTTAATTAATAATTAAAAAGATTAATCAACCCTTAACCTGGCCCCATGTTTACTAAGAAAAGATCTGGATCAGGATGAAATAATCCTGATTTTTTTCTCTTTATTGTTTTATAAAGCTAAATGTGACTGTATTTTGTTAGAATGAAATGGTAATAAGATAAAGAGCCTAATGGCTGGCCTGGCTGCATACTCGGGTTGCAAAGACTAATCTGTTGGTTCCTGTAGATTAAAGGTTAAAATTCATGCATTCCTTTTCTATCTCATATGGTCATTTTTGAACATTATATCTTCATCTTAGTGCAGTAACATGTTAACTCCTATTAAATTATAAAAGGAGTTAACCCATTACTGCACTAATGTGATTATATGAAAGAATTCCTTGCAAAGTATTTCTACTCATTTTTTGAAGAAGAAAAAAGTACTTTCCATTATGTTATATTGTCTAAAATGTATTTTTATTTTTTTTCCATTGAGAAATATTCCCTTCAAGTGTATCAAATCATTATATCAAAACTTTGTGCAATACAATTATATCTCATAATGAAATATTGTGGGAGATAAACTATTTGTTCATGAAGCTCTTGATGTAAGCTAGATAGTTCTCTAAGATCTTTGCACACACAAATGTTCAGTAGTTAGTTTTTTTATCAAAACATATATTTACACATGTATTACTCTGAATTTTTGTTTCTTCAGTATATATATTATTTAGTGTAAGATTCTTTAGTCTTCACTTTCTACTTCAGAAGAGTTACAGCTCATTCTGTTTTGGCTCCAGCATAAGATTTGCGGTTGGGAACCAGTGATACAGACATTGGGAATTGTCATTGGTTGATTTCAAATTTATGAGAAAGATTCAGCAAATCAGATGCCAGTGTTATAAACTGGTTCCCAGTCACATGTTTTATACGAATTTTCCTTTTGTATTAGGATGACTTTATTATATGTACTTCCGATTTTCATCTTAAGGCTCTTTAGTTTTTTTCATTACGTAATGCCATTATAGTTTCCTATACATTGTATGAGTTAAAGTTTTAAATCAAGATGAGAAAATTACAGAAAGACTGACAACCTAATTTTTTTTCCTGAGAATTGGTTAGCAGGTCTTTGAATACAAGATTTGTATAAGAGGTTGACAACAAGCATGCGCAGTGTTATACATGTAAGAAACGATGGAACTACTATTTGTGTTATTTGTAGCATGTTTGTATCTGTTTGCGGTTGTTGGTTTATACACACACACACACTACTCTTTTCTTAGACTAAGTTCTGTATTACATGGCCACTTGCCAGGTTAAAATATTATTTACTAGACCTATGGTATATACAACAGATTATTCAATAGTTTGGACTTTCAATTCTCTAAATTAAAAATTTCAAAGAATTTCTCCTATTACTATACTAACCATTGGTTTAAATACAAATCCTGATGGGGCAGATTGTCCTTGACCTTTGACCTTAGACATTAAGGTTATTTTGCCTACTTTCTCTGACTTTTATAATACAAGGGAAAAATTAACAGTCACACCATGGATAGGTTAAAAATGGTACACAATTCAGAAATATTTGTATGGTTTAGTGACAGCAAGGACACTTTCGAATTACGTTCTATTCTTGTTGAATGATAGACCCTTATCAGAAAATGGATAGATTTAAGACCCACTTGTAGTTTAAATATAAGCTAGAAATCTATGTAAGCTTAATAGAAAAACGAAGTCTATTGCCCATAAGGTTTGCAAGCAGCATCAAAGCTGTTGTGCTTGCACATGTTTTGTATGACGAGTTAGTTCTTAGAAAGCAATGAATATGACTAGTCCCGTTTATCCTTTAGTGTAAACAACATTGTTTGCAGGGAAAGGTAATGTTGCAAGTTATAATGGCCTAAAAATTAGATAACTGCTCGTAATATTAAATATATATGGAAATAGACTGTCACAAATCTATTCAAACTAGCATTAGATCATGCCGGAAAATTAGTTCATTATTCTTGTACCGAAAGATAGCATTAAAGTTCATTATAAAGGTGTAGTCATGACTGCAAACTAATACCAAATTTGTACTAAATCTACAGATATGACCGGTATATTGTACTGGTAATATTTTATCAAACCATATGTATCATATATTGCAATAACAGTATTTACAACCTTATAATAAAGTAATGTTGAAATATCTCCCTGTAAATGCTACAGATATTAATCTGATGCTAACCACTAATAAACGTCTGTCTAGACATAATATCGACTGCTTGGTGGGATCCATCTTTAGGGAACATATGGGTTACAACAGTTTTGCACTAAGCCCTCGATATACTGCTAGATAATCATATATTGATCAATAGCTCCGTAAAACCTTGATAATGCAAAAGATACACCATCTTTTTTGGGGAAAAAAAACACTCGCCCTTTTAACACATTTTCAAGTTTTTTTTCTCCAAAAGCTTTTTATGCAGGTTGTAAGTTGTTGATTTCTATCTAGGTAAGTTTCAGCACGCTGAAAGTTGTTGAATGGAAACTAATTAGTTTCTGATTATTAGCTTGATACGCAAGATATAGAATTTAGGATTGCGTTCTCGTTTTATGGGATATGGAGTCATATTAACCATGATTTATAGTTTATTATATTCTGTTGTGTGTCTTTTCTATATAGCCATATCAACTTGACATATATCTTATATTGCTTCGAATTCACCTCTTTAATCTGAACTTGCACTTTATTTATTTTTATTTTCAAGGATAATATTATTTCTGCCTCATATGTGTCTGTCTATTTTGTGGTAGGCTGTAAAATAGGAAATTTGATAGGTAGTGAACTTATGTCAACAAGAAAATTTTATATTTATAATTAATATCTGCGATGCAGTGCATGAAAACATTTAAATTTTGAAGCTTGTAATTTTAGAGATCTTAAAGCATTCCGTTTTCTCTTTTTTACATATTTCATTGCAGAAGAAAACGATTTTTTTTACCAAAATGGGTGGAACATTTAAAAAAAAAGAAAGAAATTAATAGATTAATAGTAACTTAAAAGTTATAGGTATAGTGCGTATGTGTATCATAAAACATTGTAAACTTTTCATAAGTGAAAAATGCCATGGATACGAGTTTTATATTTGTACGAGTTGTAGAAGTAAAAAAAAATGGCTTTTGACCGTCTATATTTATTAATGTTGTTAAATCATTTTTATTAATAATGTAAATTTCATGGATATATTTATATCTTATGGTCTCAGCTATGACAGTAAAACATTAAAATTATGATACAACATTTAACCGTTAAAACTTAAGGAAATTTAGGACCCGATTGTATTGTTTTATATTATTTATTTTCTATTATTATTATTATTATTTTGTATTGCCCTGTAGTTTGGTGGATGGGATTTATTTTATATATATATATATATATATATATATATATATATATATATATATATATATATATATATATATTATATAACAGTAGTTGCTTTATGTATATTTATCAATTTTTAGTCTGCACAAACCTTATGTTTATTCTGGCAAAAAAAAGAGAAATGTTCTTGACAATTCTTTCAATTTTCTTTGCTCATTATAAGGCATGAGTGGAGCTTTGATAAAAAAGAAAAAAACGATGTTTTTTTTTAAATATAATGTATTAGATGTTATTTATTAAAAAAATTGTGTGAGTTTTTTATTGCTGTTCATTCATATCTTTATTTTTTAATATGCCACACAAACTTTGTCTTAAAGACTTCCCAATATATTTCTTATTATCAAACATATTTTAAGACTGTGTAACCAGAAATTTATGTTTATAGATTTAATTGTATATTCATGTGATATTATGATGTTCAGTTGCATATACTTTTACAGAATCATAAAATTTTCATAAAATTTTAATAAGTTTCCCCTCTCTTTTTCTATTAATGATATGATTTTTAAGTTTTATTTCAATCCTTAATATTTAAGAAAGGTACACTTCTCAAATATATACAACATATATTTCTTAAATTGATCTTATCTTTTTATATTCAACAAATCTAATACTATTTTTGTTTTAATTTTCATGTTGGATCTCACAGATGAAACAGAAGGTGTGTACTCATTAATTACTTTATTTACCTAAAATATGTTTTACCCAAACAAAGCTTCCGTTTGTTTTTGATTATTAATTCAACTCATTGTTGATCATAAAGTTCCACATTTTGCTTTAAGCGGTGTGTTGGGTTGGGTCACGGGTGTGAAATGGATCACACATTATATCAATTCATTTCCTGCACTAAGGACCCAATCAAAACATGGATGCATCACTAGGTCTTTCATTTTAATTTTTTTATTAAATATACATGTATTAACAATTTTAGCAGCAATTGTAAGCTAAAAGCCATTTAGTTTATTCTCTTTATTTTTGTAGTTGAGTTTATTGTTACACAATGGCCTCCAGAACCCTCCCAGAAATTCGAGTCACTTTATAAAATCAGCTCGAATCAAAGTGTGCAATCCCAGCAACAAAGTAAAATAGTTGACATTTTATTTAGTGTTTGTTTATTGTTATCCTTCAAATTTTTGTTCAAATGTTCATTGTTATCGTTCAAATGTTCGTTGTTATCGTTCAAATGTTCGTTCAAAGAAGGGTTTTTTTTGCTCTGTTACTGCTTAAATGATCGGACATGCCTGTTTTAAATTTGTTTAAAATTTAATTTTGATTTAGACATGATGTGTTTAAGATTCAATACAACGGCGGTGCTAGGGGATATGGGAGATAGATATTCAAATTTAAATTACCCCTCATGCACAGAGGGAATAAAATAGGGTCTCAAATTTTCAACTTTCTAGTTTGTGTTTTCATTGCTGTTGAGGGGTTTTCCTTTTCCAGAAGTTTAATTTTTTTGTTAAATTTCAAAGACGTGGATTCTTCGGCCCAGTACGCTTGTTCAATGTTTTGTTCTTTTTTATTTGCTAAATCATAATCAGACCAATTGTTTGAATCTTGTATAGGTAAGTAATTGGTCGTTTCAAGGGAATGGTGCAAGACTATTGTATATTTTATATCTCTATGAAGTAACAATATTTTTGCATTTAACCCTAAATATAACCCTATTGTGTCAATTTCATAAAATGGGAAGCATTTTTATGTAATACATTTGTATCCGAGTATGGTTGTTATATGTTCTAGATGAGTTTCACTTTGTCAGAAATATTCTTACCTCACTTCACAATTTTGTTATCTCATTTTTAAATTGGATTTTTTTTGTATATATTTAGACGAGTTTCACATTTAAAAGAAGAAAAAAAAAATACTACCACAATATTGACAGTAGATGGTGTCCCCACCCCCTTTGAAATACAATTATGACAGTACATGGTGTCCCCACCCCTTTGAAATACAGTAATGACAGTACATGGTGTCCCCACCCCCTTTGAAATATTAGGTTCACAACGTCAAATCTACTTTATTACAGTATTAGTCTAGCAAGATGTCGAGTTATTTCTACATGACCATTTACACTTGGATGGGCATGATGTCACTTTAAAATACTTTTTTTATTACATGCACTGATGATTAATTTGTGTCGTGTTTGTCTTTCGTTCTTTTATTTATTTCTTAATATTGAGACCAAAAATTGACCTCATTTGTTGGTTAACTTTAACATATATTACGTGTCCCATTGTGAATCTTATTCAATTGAGCATGCTGCAAATCTTCACTCAATTATCTTTCATATTATTCATCATGGTAATAAGTATTTACCTTCAGTTTGCCACTCACTAATATTTCGCTTTTGATGTGCTTGTCTATTAGATGTTCCTGCACACCCAATAGCAGATGTTCCATCTATTGATCCTGACCAAGAAGAAGGTTTATACTAACTTATACAGCATATTCTTAATCATAATCCTCGCTTTGATATTAGTAATCTATTATTTTATTACAAGCTATGTATATTTATTTAGCCTTCACTCCAATTTGAAGGCTTCACAACTGTTTCTGACTATAAATCTGAAAGTCGTGTCTATTTTGGTAAACCATGCGTGCATACAAAATGTAAATCAACGACATTGTCAGTTAAAAACTAACAAGAAACATTGGACTCTTAAAACAACAACAGTCAGCCGCCACACTGCATTACATTTAATGAAATACGTGATTCATAATACAAATGCAAACAAAGTTCATGTGAGATTTCAAAGCAACTGGTACAGCTTATTCATTATTTGTATATTTTCTTCTCTCCTTGATTACTAGTATGCGACCTGAATGCACTAGTGTAGAATGTATAATTATGCTACACAATTTTATATATATTTCATGTCCTCTTCGCAAGACTTCACATATGTTAAATTTTGAATTAGCCGTTGCTAGAGAGCATGGACGATAATTTGCACTTTCCAGTGCTGTCTATGAGAACAGGCTATAGTAGCATTTTAAATTTTGCAGTTTTCGAAGTTCTTTACGGATCCTTTTTTCCCATTTTGCAAATACCTTTTTTTCTTTGATATTACAATATTATATTATTATTGTAATAATAATACATTGTAATACAACATGGCATGAAAGTAAAATTTTGTCTGAAGTCTTCATTCTTTCCCACCGTTTTTGTATGGACAATTTACAAAAAAAATGGTAGCTGCAAAAACAAAACACTAAAAAAAGCAGGAAAAATAAATGAGTGTAGCTGGTACTTCTATGTATTTAGGAGATGAAATACTTTATGATTTTCTTTTGATTTTCCTTTTGATATTGAGACAAAAATTAAAAATACCTTATGCCCGAAAAAAAAACTTATAATAAAACAACTAAGTTACGTTAAATTATGAATTCACTATTCATTTATTGCGTTTCTTTAACCTTTTTGGCAGATGTAACGTAACGATTTGTTTGCTTTATATTTAAAACTAATTTTTTATCTAAAACAGTGGCTATAGCAGAACACCAAGAAACCACGTATGAACCTGCCCCTGAATATGACAAAACAGGTTACTTCTTTTATAATATTAACCTTCAAATATATGCAAAACATAGAGCAACCTGACTGTAGATTGTTGACTTTTTGTATTCGTTATAAATAACAGGACAATTTTATATCATTTTTGTTTGATTAAATTTGTGAATTAACATTTTAGAGTGACTACTAAAAGTCTGGAAGAAGGTGATCCCTCGGAAGCATTAATCACAACAAAATTACATGAAAATCGCAGACTCGGTTTGACTGGGATAATAAAAAGGTTGAATATCCCTCACGCTAAGTTCACGAACTATTATGCTAAACAATAGCTATCTTAAATCTTAACTTGTTTATTGCTTAGTATTTGCCATTAATAAAATGCCAATTCTAACACGACCCGCAATTTTCCCTATTAAACATAGAAGAACAGAAAGTGTGTGTTATTATGCAACAGATGCACAGTTTGACGTTCTATATTTAGACATGTGACGTAATCATTATACACGTGGCGTAACCACTAAAAATCCGACGCGCTGAAAATAAGTACGGAAACAAACCAGGCGCAATTTTTCTTAACTATCAAGTATGGCAACATTTATTTGTTGATGTCGTGTTAGAATCGAAATAATATATCCAAAACCAGTGATTTTATCGCTTGATAACATCACTGTTTGTCGTTCGGATGCGCATCATTATATCACTCGGGCTACGCCCTCGTGATATAATTCCGCGCATCCGAACTCCAAACAGTGATGTTATTGAGCGATAAAATCACTGTTTGGGATATATTATTTCTTAAATATAAAACATATGTTTTTCTTTACATACTTCGAAATAATGAATTCTGAATTGAAATCGTTACAATATTAGGTTATTTTAGTAATAAATTGCTATGACATTTATAAAGCTCCGGAACGTGTTTTTCTAGCATTTGTTTTTTGTTGTTTTCCTTCGCTAATATTAAACTTGCATAAGACAAAATTATATTTGCGTACTATTTCGTGAATTTTGAAAACTAAACCTAGTTTGCCTTTACTTTACCTAATGTGTCATTAGTGAGAGAAGTTTGTCGGCACATCTACTCGGACCACTTAATTAGCTTTAAAGGGAATACATCGATTTTGTTAAACATGGGATGCTGGCTTGAATCTCGGTCGAGCTGAAATCTTTTTATGATAATTGATCTTGGGCATTGAGTCAAATGAGACAAATAATGTTCATTTGTCTATCATCCTTAATTCAAACGGTTAAGACGAGATGCGACCAAATAAGTGTGTACCACTTATTTACAAAACAACTTTATTCAGTATTTAATTGTATATACATGTCAGGTTGCTCTTTTTCACCATGTTTATATTAATAACCTTTATTGTATACAGGCACCTATTTCCCCTTTCACAGTTGGTTTGGTTACCAGCACCTTGTACATGTCAGCAAGATAATATTGGGCCATAATCTAAGTTGGCCCTTTGATTGGGCAGCGTATAATCTTATGTTAAATCAATAGTTTGATGAAGGCCCAATATTAAAATTCTGGCTGCTTCTATCTTTTCTTGATTATTGCATTGCTGAAATATCTCCAATCTATCTTTCAGAAAAGACAACTCCGTCTTCAATAGTTTGATAGTTTAGTTCCTGAAATGCTCGTTATCTAGGTGTTTCAGAAAAGTGAATTGTAATTCTGACCTATATCTAATTTTATCTTTCCTTGCTTTCAGATCCTCTTTCGTTTGCAGTTATTCATTTATCGTTTTTTCGCTTGGCAGCAATGAATAAAATAATTAGTGTTTTTTCTCCTGTGTTTACTATGGTTCAAGGCATGAAGTTTTATTTATTTCCCGATTCTTAGTACAATAAGTTTCTGTTTTGTGAGTTTTTCTATGTTTAAGAGACAGAGAGACAGTTATCGAGAGTTTTTGCAAAGTAAATCACTCACTTTAATGGCTTTAAAGTGCTATGTTTATAAATAATGTACCATAAATAATCAAAAAGCATAGATTTCGTCAAAGGCATTTAGAAATAATTCATTTCATTGGAACCATAATCGGAGTTTAGATAAAAAAAAAAGCAATTTATGCATTTTTTTACTTTGAGTTTTATCAGAAGTACTTTCCTTATTTGTTTTCCAAAAACCATAGTCTATATAAAGCTCTGTGTGTAATAAAATGCGCATTTAAATGTTTCTTTACATTTACACTGTCGATTGCATCCACCGTTTGACTCGAACATATAGTCAGTTAATGAATAATATTTTTTTCCAAAAAAAATCTCTGATATTGCTTTCCTTACAGAAGTACAATTTTAATTTGCATGAGGATCTGTGCTAGATTTTTTTACAACAATGTGTGTTCCTTTTTAACCTTTTTCTTTATTTGTTTGGTTGAAATTTATTTTAAATGTCTATTAAAATGTTTTAATTATTTCTTTTAAATCTTTCTAATTATTTTCAAAGTTATAAATCATAATTTATAAATGCTTAAGGAGTTGAAATTTTGTTTTAATTGAATTAGCAATAGAGTAATGGTGTAATTGTTTGGTGATTAAGATGTCCGTTCATTTTTTACATGTTGCTGTTTCATTAGTGGTAATGACTTTCTAGGGACAATCCCCTATCACACTAAATGTTTTATTGGATTTTAGCTTTGGCTGAATTATTTGTAAACAAAATATTGAAATTGAGAGGTTGATGATGGATGAATTTTAGTTTTGTCTTTCTTCCTTGTCGAGAAACTAATACTGAACCACTTAACATAATCAAGTCGGTATCTTTTATTTCTAGCATGATATTTTAGAATGTTCGGATTTTTATTGAAAACTTGTTGTTAAATGTTATCTATTGACGTGTTGTCTATTTGATAACTGATGAAAGTGTTTGCACGCTTTCTACTATGTTCAAACTTAAATGTAGTGTAAAACTACAAAGAGCCTACAAAACATCTAAATTGTACTTCTACTTACGTAAATATCTGGAAAAAAGTGATCCCTTGGACGCAACAGCAAAATAACATGAAAATTGCAGACTCTGTTTGATTGAGTCTGTACATGTAAGTTTTATGACAGAAGATGTTTTATATATTCGAGACATCTTTTGGACTCTTGACCTGACAATGTGACATGGTTTTGGTGGTTGTGACTCAATTATTTTAAGTGACTATGTTTTAAATGGGCGGGGGAGAAGCCTTCGTTGAACTGTTGATTGCATTGTTCTGTGTGATTTTACATCAGAAATGTCTGTAATTTTCTTTTGTCAGTAAAAAATTTTGATAAGAAAGTAAAGAAATCAAAGGGAAAATCTATCAAGGAAGGTAATATAGATAATATATATGGGGTTAGAAGCTATGTTGTTTGCTCGTTGTAGGATTTATGTTAACGGGATCAAAGTTGTAGAACGTCTAGCTCAATCATACAAGTGTATCATATCATAATGATGTTTCATGTTCATTAAAAACAACGCAAGAAAACATTTGTTATTCTAGGGTTTCTTATTTTTGTACTTTATAGAGACAGCCACATTCGATGATTAAAACTGTTTGCATGGTTTATATTATAGATTTGTTTCGGACATTTTAAAGTTTCACATCACAAAACTTTTAAGGTGCATGAACCTAGTTACAATGGTTCTTTTCAAATTTAAGTATTTCGATTGTGATATTATAGATATCATTAATATTGATATCTCAATTTTCAGGAAATAATGCAAAATTAAAATGATCTTATGTATAAATAGCTAAAATGATGAAGTTTCGCATGATTTCTGTTGAATTTATATGGGTTGAACATATAAACTAAATGTGACAATTTAGCGCAATAAATCACCAAAATTTTTAAACGTCAGTATTAACTAAGTAATCAGATATTTGGAATTGTCATGATTGAACAAGTTAAATGCATTCTTGAATGTTTTAAATTTCCAGGCACTTGAAATATGAAATTATATCGTCTACGCACGTCAGTTAAAACACCTTTTATTCTTTATAGGAAAATTTTTGTCAGACGTCTAATTATCATTTGAGTCGGCATTTCTAGGTGAAATTCACAGATGAAATTGCCTTGTATCTTTAAAACTATACATAATTAAAAATGAAAAAGTTTAATTACTCTTTATCGAATTTCCTTATAAAACATAAGTTTAATATATTCATAAGAATTGCTTTATTTGCTTGTACATGTAAAGCAAGATTTATGCTAATAGAATCATGTTTTAATACATTGCTCACAACTTGCCCTTCCGCGTCTTAAGATTAGCATTATTCAAATGTTTTTCCTCATTAAATGAGTTATTTTAACTTCAACTTATAGAAACGGAAACCGACACTAAGGCAGAAAATCAAGAACAAAGTGAATCTCCCGATGAAGGTAGTGAAAAAGATATAAAAATTCCCATGTACTCGTATATTAATCTAGATATACCTGACAATGTACCTTTTTGTGTTTTTTTTTTCTGCTGCTTTATTATTATTTATTCTGTATTTATTTCATTCTGTATTGGTATAAGCCAAAATGTAACAGAACATTTCTTGTTTTCTGTATTTTCTTCTCTTCTCTGTATTTATTTGATGATTGGGTTCCGAACTATCGTTTCTTTATTGTCTAAAATTATAAGATGCTTTCGATCCCATAATATCTATCATTTCATATCCATTTAGATACTTCTTATGTTCAATTTTAAAAGTTTTATTGGCAATTGACATGAAATCACTTAGATATTTTATTACTTTAATGTACTTCATTTCTTTACTTACTTATAAATTTGTTTCATGTATTTGTTTCATATTTATAATTTTATTTTTTTTGCTAAACCAACGGATAGTTTTAGATTTAAGGATGGTTCAGGGTTTCTTAGACCTGTACTTGGTGCTAGAATTAATTTTCCAATTTATCTAAATTTAAATACTTTTTGTTCTTGTTTTGAACTAAAAGTGCATGCTGGTGTTTAAATAACTAGTATGTAAAAGATGCATGAGTGTTAGTTCAATACTAAGTTTATTGAATGAGTTAAATTAAACCATATTATGCGAGTCTCTGGCTAGCATAATATTGTTTTATTCAACAAGTTCAATAAATTTAGTATTGAATTGACACTAATTTAATATTCTATATTTATCACATACCCAAAATAGGAACTGTGAAAAAGAATCACGTTTTCTTTGATGTGCATGTATTGTAGCGCGTCTTTACGTCATGTTTGTATAACGCAAATGACGTAAGGTCAAAATATATGCACTGCTGTACATATTATTGGAGTCGCAAAAGCAGCACGGGTGTGTGATAAAAGCTCTAAAAGACACCATAGTTAGTTCTCATCTATACTTCAAAAAAAAGTCATAACTTTTTTATCTGCTTCTATATTCAGAAAACTTCAAAAGCTACTCTTTCAGACAGAATATTTCTCAAAGCATCAACATATTTGTTTACAGTTACAGAATATGATAAATATTGCATTTTCATTGAGATAATTGGGACCTAACAGTTGTTTATGTTCCACTTGTGTCGCAGTTTATCACACCCTCTAACCAGTAGCAAGCAGATCTTTAAAGGACATGTTGATTAAAAGCACTCACATGTTGAATAAAACATTTTTTTCCACAGTTAATGAATCTTATTTGCAATGAGTGATATGTCAATTAGGGAATCACGATTTCTTTTACAAGTGCATTTAATATATTTTTTACATATGTTGGTTAGTATAGATAAACGTTGAAAATTACATCTTAAAGACAAATCAATCTTAGAAAATTGAGGCATTAACTGTCATTAAAAGTGAAATATATATCTTCTTTTTTTTTCTTTAATTTCCAGCTAAAAAAGAAGAAAAACCCGCCGAAGGTAACATATTTTCATTTTATATTTAAACGTTTAGGAAAATTGGGAGTTCATTCAAGATGATTAATTTTAATGACATTACTATGTGTCATTGTGGAGAATAAACTGTATTATAGTATATAAGAAGAAAAGTCACACGGTTTAACAATAAAGCACGAATATGAAATACCAAAATATAATGTCACTGTAGCGGAATTGTATTTGAAATGTTTTTATAGTAAAAAGAAGAAAAGTCACTCGTTTAAACAATAAAGCACGAATATGAAATACCAAAATATAGTGTCACTATAGCGGAATTGTATTTAAAATGGTTTTATAGTATATAAGAAGAAAAGTCACACGGTTTAACAATTAAGCACGAATGTTAAATAGCAAAATATAATGTAACCGTTTTTGTAACCGAACTGTATTTGAATGCAGATGTAAAACATAAATCAGAAATTAATGTAAATGTTTAAGAAAATAGTCGCCAATCCCATTAGGGAAATGTAATACATGTTTATTGGAATTCAAACCCTTCATGTTAAATTAAAACATACTTCGAGAATATCTACATAATTATTAAAGGAACTTTTTTTCTTTACTATTTAATGGCCTTATGAAGAAGAGCGTGTGACGTTACATTGCACAATCAGTAAAATTTTGCTAAATTCACTTAAATAGTACGAAATAAATAGAGTTGATATATTTGACTATGCATGATTTAATTATACCTCTCTCGTGAACACAAGCAGTTTTATTTTGTCGTGTGGCTTAGCCACTTATTTGATTTTCCATCTGGTGTTCACTGTATGAAATAAAATTATATTTTACATGCAAAAAAACAGATGACATCTATTTTTTCTTAGTTTTAAGTTTTATATTCTGTTTGTTTCAGATCAAACCCCACAGCAGCCCAGTGAAAGTAAGTTGTCACAAATATGAACAAAAACAACAAATCTTCCATATTTTAATTATTATTCAATTAATTAATATCTTCCGAGTCATTGCTTTCATTATTATATAATACAATTTGCTCTGTGGATGTGTACAACAAAACAATTTGATAGCTCTTTGAACATGTCTCTATGAAATTTTTTTTGAAAGTACGATTTAGATATTTTACTTACAGATGAGCATTGCATATCTTTAAGTAAATTTTAATGAAGTTAATATAATAATATCAACTGTTTTACCATCGACTTTTAAGCCCTTTATTTTCGTAGCGAAAATGCATGTATTTTTGGCAATCTGGTATTTAATAGTTATCAGGTATTGTCTTCAAATTTTATGTACTGTTTCCATAATCACAATTTGTTCCTCAAAATTCACCATTGTTACTACTCTCACTTTTTTATTTAACCCTTTGTTAACACATTGCTTCACTTTTAAGCATTAAAATTAATTAATTGAAATGAGTAAGGAAAGAGTAGCAGAAATTTTGTTAACCATCATGAGAACCTACATATTGCACGAAAATTTCACAATCCTAACATCACAGGTGAAACGCAAGAAAAAACTGAAGAGCAAAAAGAGTCCGAAGCAGCACCTGAACAACAAACAGAAGGACAGGGTGAACAGCAAGCTGAAACAACAGAAGAGAAAGCAAAAAGTCCTGAACCACAAACGCAAGAGGAACAGCAACCTGAAACAAAACCTGAAGGTTGTAATGTAAAACGTATTAAAGTAGGGTAGCATAATGATATCACTTAAAAGTATCATGAGGTTACCTTGATCTGCATATTAGAAACTAGAAATGTGGTATTCACAAACTCAAAACAATGTTGTCTAATATATTTAAATCAGTTCGGCAAGAACATTTGCATCTCTTGTGTTTATAAATGTTTAAAAAAATGGTTAAATTTTTTTTAAATTATTGATTTTAGACACAAATTTATATATTGTGTGTGTATATTGTAAAACAGAAGTAATAGAAAAAGCATCGAAATACTAGGGTGTTTTGATGTCCTTTCTCTTTTGTATCATAGGCAAACATAAAAACATGTTCCTTGTTGTCACAATATGAAAGCCCAGCAAAAAAAGTAACAAATGAACGAACATCTGATGTCACAATATGAAAACCCAGAAAAAAGTAACAAATGAACGAGCATCTGATATTTCCATCGCTATCTTTTTCTCTGTCGTAACAATAAGTAAACCCCAGAAAAAATGAGCCAATCAATGAGTATCCTCTTTAAGTGCGGGTAAATAATACTCTGACATTTTCAACAGAAATATCCAAAACTATGATACAATGTTTACATGTAAATGCATTTAAACACTAGCAAGTTTGATGAAATATGCAAAATGTAGCAAACATCAGCAGTGAACATCCTTTAAATCGTGAATGTTGTATGTCAGTTATCAATGTTAAATAAATATACATTAAAAGTTAATGAGTAAGCGCCATGTAAAACGATCACCCATTCACTGTTATCTTTATTGTGTTGCTTTAATTTAACAAGTCATCTACTTATCCCTTACCATTTTTCCTTAACGCACTGAGTTAGATACCTTCACAAAGTATTTGAGCACTAACAACTTTAAAAAAATATTATACATGTTATAATTATAATTATTTTTTTAAATTATACTTTATTTTGATGAAAATATTTGTTTTTATTTTGCAGAACAAGCAGAAGAGAAGGAAGGTAATTAGATTATTATAATTATTATTGTACATTTTTAAAAGGTATACAAAACACTGATGATTTTCTTATTTTGCATGTAAAGACTTTTTTATTGCATGGTTATGGCTACACAAAGTGAAAAGTCTCATGTGATTAGATTAGAAAACATTTTTTAGCAATTATGGGTAAAGCATTGCACATAGCACCAGATAATGTCGATGTTATGATTTTAAAGAGATGTTTAACTTTATATTTTCATTTAAGATAATCGTTTAGCATTATAGTGAGTGATGCTTTAATCTTGAAGCTGAGATATTGACTTCTTTGCATTTACTTAGTTGGAAATGTATCAAAGATGATTTGTTCTGTCAATTGTTAAGATACAGAGATTGCATGTCATGAACAGGTTTGTAAAATGTCTGTGAACTGCAGGGAGTCTGTATGGTACCTGTCTGAAAAAGAGTTGAACGGATATGTAATGATATGGTCAACGTTCATCCAGTAGTTTTATAGTCTTTATACCCGTAACACATCTCTTTTGATTATATACTTATGATTGTCAATCACACTTAATTGTTTTGCACAAAAGAATCAAAGCCTACTGAGGAACCAGCTCAGACGGAACAAAAAGCAGAGGAACCAGCTAAAACTGAAGAGGAACCAGCGAAAACAGAAGAGGAACCAGCTAAAACTGAAGAGGAACCAGCAAAAACAGAAGAGGAACCAGCTAAAACGGAAGAGGAACCAGCGAAAACGGAAGAAGAGCCAGCAAAAACGGAAGAAGAGCCGGCGAAAACAGAAGAACCTAAGGCAGAAGAAACAACTGAGCAGAAAACAGAGGCAACACAAGAAGCTGAAAATACTGAAGAAAAGAAGGAAGATAAGCCTGCTGAAGGTGCTGTATAGCTGCTGAATTTGTTTATTTTAGATGTTACCAGTCCAACATATTTGTAAATTTATATTTAGCACATAAGTCTTTTATATTGTTGTTGGTGATTGTATCTGCAATTGTTCATTTTTTTATCAAAAGGTAGCACTACATGCACTAGCTTTTGAATATTGTGTAGCACCACGTTTTCTATTGATGATTTTCTTAAATGTTTCATTGACAGGAATAATGCATCAAATTTATATTACTTAAGACGTATGAGAATGTTTCTTCACTTCTGCGTTCGTGTCACTTCATTGTGTGCCACGTAAGATGTGGTTTATTTTTAAGTGATTATTATCCTTTACTATTTCAGGGGGCGGCCAATAGGAAGTGCATAGGTTATAAAATTGTTATCATATTAAACATGTAAGTGTTGGGATTATTAATTCAAATTTGTTTTTACTCGAAAATAACTTTTTTAGTTTCTTTGCACCCGAAAAGAAAATTTTGAATGTGGCCCTTTAATTAGTTGATAATAATAATTATGTTGCCTTGCTTGCTATACCCTGCAGATATACCCTGTTATAGCATGGGAATTTATTTTCTCTACCATTTAAACTAGAAAAAATCGTCGTATAACCAAATTACTTTTTGTGGGTCTATCACCCCAAAAATGAAATAACAAAATTTTCTGTCCCGAGTCATTTTAACATTCAGTTGTCTGTTTTTCTTTTATTATTGCCATGTTCCACATCTAAGTATAAAATACTTACGTGCCTCGTTTTCTCTTTCAGTGTTACCATCTTCAAAAGGTTGAAAGTAGACGAACTATTGTTATCTTATCAAAGGGAGCTAACTATGAAAAAATAATCATTAACAAAGAGAGCTTATTATGAAGATTTTATTCGTGTTTTGTGAAAGTGATTTGTATTATATGTGTTACAAGGGACCTAATGACTTATTTGTGTTGTGTAAGCGACTGGCTTTGTCTAGTGTATAATACACAGTCATTTTCTAGATATTTCTTTAAATTATAAACGAATAAAACATGAAGAGAGAAACAAAAAATGAAGAGAAATTTTAATCTTGTGTTCTAGTGCATTTTTATTTTAGATGCGATATTTTCATAAGTATAACAATATTTTATTTACACTAAAGTTTGGTATAGTTTTGTTGATTAATATGTTTAAAGTCTGGCAAAACTGTGATTAGATCAAAGAAAACCGTCCAATTATTTATTTTATTATTGAATTTTACAAAAGCTGAAAATAAAACTGAATCATTTACAAAAAATATATGTGTTTCTTGTTCTTGTCTATTTCCTGAATAAAAGATAATAATTCAATCCGTATATAAGACATTTCTTCCAAGAAATATGTGATTAACTGGGATTATTACTGTACTTCTGCCTTATTATGTTTCTTAAGGGTACATTAATGCGTCTAGTGAAATTACTATTTTAGTTTTATTGTGTTGGGTGTTTTTTTCTAGAAGTATGTTTGAAATCAATCCTCACGAAACCTAAAAGAAATAGGAAGAAACTCGTACAAAAAAACGTTTAAAGTCGTGTCTATGAAATATAATTCAAGTTATCCTGTCATTCAAATCCCCTATGTTAGGTTTGTCTTACTTTTTCAAAAGGTTTTCAATCGGCTGAAAGAAGATGCAATTTATCTTTCGAAAATAATTTCCTATTTCGAAGATTGATTCTTGTAAAATAATTCTTTATTTGATAATAACTTTTGTCGAGACTTTTCAGTCTTAATGTCATTGATCTTTTACTCCTAAATGGAAATTATTTCGTGGACAAGCAAAATATATCGAGTGTTATACTCTTTGGCAGCCATGTCATTAGCTTTTGAGAAAAATTGACCAGGTAGAAATATACTTAAATATTTTAAAGGCCAAATTGAAGCCTTGAAGGTGCTTTCATCTTAATAAGTTTTTTGTGTGTGTTTGTGTTTTTTTTTTTATTTTAGATCACCTGAGCACAGCCGAATACACATCTGTCGTCCGTTGTTAATATTTTTACATTTACATAAACAATCTTTTCTCCTAAGCTCCTGCACCAATAGTGACTATACAGGAATGGTCCTTGGATAGTCCCTAAAACATTTCCCATTTGGTTCCGATCTGCTTAACAAGATCGCCAGCAGAGCTAAAAGCAGAGACGACCTTTAAACGATATCTCTTACTTTTAAGGCAACTTTTTGGTGGATATTTATGAAACTTTACCGAAATACCAATAATCTTCGAATAATCCTTAAAAATGTCCATTTGGTTCGATTTGATGAACAAGATGGCGGCAGACTAAAAAAAGGGGGGGGGAAACAATAAACTGCCTCCTATATAACTATTACGTGGACTTTATTTTAAAGAAACTATACCGGAATGATTCTCGAAAAGCCCACTTCAAAAATGGCTTAATGGGTTCCGGTCTGCTGAACAAGGTGGCCGCCAAAGCTACAACTAGAAGAAAACGATATCTCCTCCCTTATGTTACCTATTTGATGGATTTAGATGAAGTTATACAGGAATAATTTATAGAAAATCCTTTACAAAAGTTGCTTAAATGGTTCCTGTCTGCTGAACAAGATGGCCACCATAGTTAAAAATAGAAAAACTTTAGGTTCTTAAATTTATGGTAGATTTTGATGAAACTATACTAGAATTATCAATAAGAAATCCTTCAAAAAATTACTCAAATGGTTCCGATCTTTTGAACGAGATATTTGATATTAGGGCTTTAGTTGTTTTTTTTTTATTCCTAGTAGCACTGAATTCTTTCTTTACTTGTCAATTTGAACTGACCGTTTGTAAACAAGAAAACTCTAACATCAGTTTGTGTGTGATTTTACTCAGATACTTAACTATCTAAACAATCATGCTATTTAACAAACATGTTTTTCCCTGTAAATGCCAGTTTCACAAAAACAGTGTAATTATCTATGATATCAAATGCCTAGAATGCATGCATTTATCATTTTTTAATGTAACGTACACATGACAGTTAATTGCATAACAATCTGATTAAAAATAGCTCTAAATAACGTACCGCTTTTAGATCTAACATTGGCCAATTACGAAGTTATTTCTTGTGATCTTTCACATAGCCAATCATCGTTCATCGTCAAGCTTTCATAATTTTGAAAGCAATGCGGTTTCTAATTTTAACCCTGGGAAAACCAATATTGAGTAGGAAATTGTCACGATTTCGAGCAAACATGCCGTTGAATTGAATTGAATTGAAATGTTGTCGTCAGGTAAAATGGCAAAACAATCTTGCCAAGTAAAAACTAACGCTATTATTTTAAGTTAATTTGTTAAAAAAATCTTCAAATATTTTTTTCTAACAAAATTCAACAATTTGTTTGATAACGGTATTTTGGTACTCTTTCTAATGCCGTAAAAACATTGATAAGATATAAGCAATATCAAACAAATGTGTGTTGTTTTTTTTAATTACTAGAAGTGTTCCTGTATTTTATCTTAGTTTATATAAGTCTATATTATACAGAAATTAAAGTTATTTTCAATTTTCGCATGGAATGCATGAACTTATACAACTGTTCATTATTAAGACAAAAGAGAACATGTTTTAAGTAAGAGAAACTCCTCAAACTGTCCATTATGTGAAAAAATAATCGGATCTCGGCGGACAGTTTTCGGAGTTTCTCCTTTATGTACCATTTGTTATAACCTTGTTAAGAGTAAGAAATGAGATAAAATGGTTTGGAAAAAAATCTTATTGCTTTAATAATGGAAGGCGGTGCCTTTTTTCTTCTTAAATTGTCTAAGACGAGCACAATTTTTCTTGAAATTGTGAAGTGTTATTTTTCTTTAGATTGTGAAAGAGGAAGCACGATTCTGACAAAAATTGTGAATAACAGTTAACAACGATTTTCCTTAGTTTGGTAATACAGACAGGGAAATTTAGTCTTTAAAAATGGGGGGGAATGTATGATATGAAATTTAGTATTGATTAGTAACAATCACACTTCGGAAGGTTTCCGCAAATGTCTGTCCGTTTTCGTGAAATATTACGATTCAAACATTTGCATTGCATGCAATGCTTGATAATGCTATATAAAATGTTGAAAAAATATACATAAAAACATAAAACCCGATGGTTTAGTGATAAATATAGTGATAAATTAATCGGCCTACAATTAAGTGATTTATAATTTCGATTTCTGGATGCAGACACATATTCTGCTAGAAAATAAGAACAAACATCGGTGGATTATTGATAGATAATGCGGCCTTCTATTAAAAAAGTTACAGTGACAAATTCTTGATGCAGTCAAGAGTTTTACTTCTTCACGTTTGCATGACAAAAGGTTGTGCCACATGATGAATTCGACCCTTGTTAGCTCTGCAGGATGAGGCCCGCAATGTATTGGTATGCGATTATTTTTTGAGGCATAGAGGAGCACGTGACCTGTTTTCAGCACATGAAGGAGCAAATGATCTGTAAATCGTACTTGATTGGTTAATCAACGTTGTAAAAACATTTAAAATAAATTAATAAAATCTATACGTCATGCACATAATGTAGTATCAAATGGGTATATGAAAGAATATTCAAGTGCAATTTAAAAAAGAAAAAGGAATAATAAACATTAAATAGGGCATTGTAGTCTTTATCACCAAGACGTTTGGAAGAGAAATCTCAAACGTCTGTATGATACAGACGGATGTTCTTCTATCGACCCTCTCTGGTATTCAAAGACTTTCTTCTATTGATAGAACATAACTTTTTTTAAAATTTATTTTGAACAGTAAAATGAAATATCTTTGAAAATTATAAAAAAAACTTCCCCCGCAGGAAACGCAATTATAAACTTATATAATAGGGAGAGCTACCCTCATTCGTTGTCTAGCGTCTACACCTTTGGGCAATTTTGTGTGTTATTATTAGTGATTATCGTCCCACTTTTCGGGCAAGTAAAGAACTCTTTTACGGAATTTGACATAATTTTGCACTTTATTATTTTTTTTCCTACTTAGATTTTTGGTTAATTTTTCGTAGCGCACTCTCATATTTCTATACCTTTGAGGTATAAACATTCTTGTTAGTGACTATCATCGCCCAAAGTCCAAAGCAGTATTTTTAATAGTGCGAGCGCTATGTCTCACCGGACAACTCTTGTGTGTGTGTTGTTTTTTTGTTGTTGTTGTTGTTGTTTTTTTTCTTCTTAATGATAACAAACCCTAAAGGAAATTCTAAATTAGGAATTTAATTGTTTGCGTCTACTGATAACAGGGATTTGGGTTTTTGTTTTTTACTGATAACTTTATATATAAATATACTACTGGTTGCGTTTCACAGATAGTGCTATGCCAGAAAACAGTCTTAAGACTTAAACTGAAACAATTTTGCATTTCAAAGAAAATATCATAACTTTTGACTCCCATGTTATGACTCTTTAATTGATGATGGACATTTACACATTGCGAATAGAAGGGTCTGTTATTGTATTTCTGAATTTTTCTCTTGAGAATATGAATTTGTTTATAATCTACAGTATTTGAATGAAGATTTTTGAAACGATCTTGGATAAGACACAAAGTTGGTTTTATCTCCTAGGACTTAGGATACACTTGGCGACGGTTCTAGGAAGGAGGCAGCCCTGATAATCGTTTCGGGGGGGGGGGGGGGAGGGTGAAGGGGTTGAGATTGCAACGGTTTAGGATGTGAGTGGTATAGGGTTCAAATCCCGTTCAAAGTTCATGAAACAAAGTTTCAGTGTCCGTTTTTTAGCTCACCTTGCACAAAGTGCAGGTGAGCTTTTAGGATGGCCAACCAAATGGCGTCCGGTGTCCGGCGTCCGTCCACATTTTATTCAGACGACATCTTCTACAATACCACTTGGCCAATATTAATGAAACTTGTCAGGAATACTCATTTTATGAAGCTCTATCAAGATTGTTCAAAGAATGCATTTCCATGGTAAACTCTGGTTGCTATGGCAACTAAAAGAAAAAACTTAAAAGTTCTTATACATCAAAATGGAAAGGGCTAGAGCTTAGATATTTCTCACAAGGCATTAGCTTGTTAGTTCCTACAAAGTATATTCAAATTATGGTCTAAAGTTGAAAATTGGTCTCTATTTTGGGAGTTAAAGGGTTTTTTATTGCAAGACTTTCTTTGTAGGGATAAATTGAGACAGTGTATCTTGTATTTTTTGTCTCAACAGACATTGTTATGGAGATTTTTCTTTTAAAGCATAAGAAGGATGAAAAGTTTGTTGAATGTGAATGTTAATTCAAAACAAAGTCAATCAGAATAG